CCACGTTTACTTTTTTCCCATTGAAATACCTTGACATTGGAAAATGTTCAAATATTTTTCGAAAATAAAAGATTTAAATTCCTACCTCTCGATGTTGTATGGTTATGAGAGAACAATGATGTTTTATAATATTTTTGAAATGTATTTTATATTAAGCAAAGCTTTATAAAAATACAAAAACTACATAAACAATATCCATTGACCAACTTTCAGAAATATAAAAAAAACATTACTAAAAACTGAGCTACTATACAATAATTTTAACAGGTAGTCAATTAGATTAATTTTATGAAATTTATCAATGCTAAACATTCCTGTAAACGTAGCTTAAAAATTTGTATTAATGTAATAAACGTTTCAAATTAATATTTTAGAGTTTATGAATTTATAAAAGAATATTATAAATCATCAATTATAATCTAATTTCCACAACAAAAAAAGTTATTTCAGAAAAAATATTTTCACCTGGAGATTCAAATTCACAAACAAATAAAATATTTAGTTTTTAATAAAAATATCACAAGATTACCTAGTAAAGGTCTCATGAAAATTAGTTTCAAAACTGAAAAATGAGTAGAAATAAAAAACTATTTTCAAGTTTTTGTTCTTAAAAAAAATAAATTATCTTTTATAGGAATTATTTTATTCTATTACTCCATAAAATGTATACTAAAATACTCAATACAATACTATTTAGGTATTCGAAATGATATTATTTAGATACCTATGATTGATTTGACAATTAATATTAGAGTTATACAAAATAGTATATTATACAATTTGTACATTATTTTCAACAATATATTGTACAAAAATGTTTAATAAATAAATAAAAACCATTAGTAGAAATTTTCTTTTTATTTATTGTCTTTTTCTCATATTTATGATAAATTAATTATTGATATGGATGTTGGGAGGCCAAATATAATCTATATACAGATATGGATGGTGAATCGGTTTATAAAATATTAGCGCTTCGAATGTACATTTACAGAATACTATTTCAATAGTCCAATAGATGGCCCAATTTCTGTTCATAATATTTAATATCAATTTGTTGAATAAAATATTTGAAAAAAAATTGTTTACTATATAAATATTTATATTTCACAATGTGTAAAATAATTTTGAGTAACGAACTATAGAAAAAAAAATATCATCAATACATTTATTATTTATACAATAAATATCAAAAAGTATTTTTTATTCATTATTTACTGATATTTTATATATAAAAAAAAAAAAAAAACAATATAGTTTAAGTAACGATTTAAAAAAGTTTATACCTTCAAGAGCAAAAAATTATTAAACATTTTGTATTTTTAATATAACAATCAAGAATACAACGTGAAAAAATGTATAGTTTTACTTCAGGTTTGGCCCAATATCTAACTGAATTGCCTTTAACTCTGTGCTGGGAGGCTTATACCAAACTTTTTGTTTTCGTTTATTATTATTATTTTTTTCAGTTAAATTATTATTGATTTAGTCAATATTTTAAAGCTCTGATATCATATTGTCATACATATATATAAAATATAATTTTTTTCTCCATTATATGTTGATTGAGTTTTGAACTTTCAAACTAATTATATTATTATTATGCTTACAATTTAAAATACGATAGCCTTGTACAAATATAACATTAATTAAATAAACTAAATAACTTGAAATTACTATTATTATTAAAAAAAAAACTTACACATATTCCTGATAATTTGTTTTAAATCGAAAATAGTTATACGTTACTATAAAACAAAATAATATTGTATAATATTGCATATTATTTTATAGCCATAAATAGTCAATAAACAGTAAGTTTAAGAGATTTATGTATAAATAATAAACTTATTAAGTTGTATTAAGTACTCTTTATTAGAAATTTAATTTTTTACACACTCTACTATGGCAACTATATGGTTGTATTGAACTGTAAATCAATTAATATTATAATATTTTACAAAAAATTTAAATAAAAATTGTATTATCTAATAGTTTTTTTAGATTTTTCAAAAAATTAAATTAAAGTTGAATAATGTTCTAAATTTTCAACTGACAAAAAGCTTACTTAAAATAATTGTTTATTTTACCTCCATAATTAGATAAAGAAATAGATATGCATCTCAAATTTTTAAAAAATAAAAATTTATAATTTAAAAATATGTTTACTACACTATGGGATTATATGTATTTTTTCTTATAAAAATATAAAACAATTTTTACATACTCAAATTATTATTCATACTTTTTTTTCTGAATGAAGAATTTGATACACAAATTGTGGGAAGTATAATATATATTTAATATAATTAACATAATTGTATTATAATTTAATATTTTTCTTAATTTCTTAATTATGTAACAAGAAAAAAATACTATACATTCATTAAAATGTTTATTTGACTTTTTGCACACTTTAAGGTTAACACTTTAACAACAGTATTATAATTATGTAATTAAATCATAAGATAATTAATGATGCTAGCTAGTTCTTCGATACTTAGCTAATAAAACTTATCTTATAAACATTTATAAAACTAATAATCTACGTCCTGAATAACTAATTTAATGCTAGTAACTTATTTTAGCTTGTAGAAAAATTAAAATTATATTAAATTATTCCAACCATGACGAAATGTTCGTCAATTTTATTATTTCCCTACAACCAAATATAATTTAAAAAAAAAATTCAAACATCTAATAATTTTTGATATTAAATTTCATACCAATGACTATTAACTATTATACTTCTTAAATTAAAATATTTATTTATTGTTTAATAGCCAGCTTTCCACAAAATTTCTACTCAAAATTTCTTTACCCAGCACTTAGATCTTCGTTTTAAATAAAGACTATATTATCTTCGAACTCAATAATATATTAAATTTTAAAAAATTGGTTGAATCTGTAGAATATGTTCAAGTTATTGATTTTTCTTTTTGTTTTGTATTAAATAATTATACAAAATGTCAATGTTTTGTATGTATTTTAACTATATATAACTATATAAGTTACACACAACGTAGATAAATACTTATCAATATTTTTTCGAATACATTCAAATTGAATTATATATATAAATATATAAAATACATTTTAATTCATTAATTCTAGTTTAATTTTCATTGAAATTAAAATAAATTATAATTGATAAATCTATTAAAAACTATACATCTTTAAAACTTTGATTAAAAAAAATATTTTAATCAAAAAAAAAATTAAAATAAAATATTTACAAGATTTACACATAATAATCTAAATTTTATTGTTTTAAAAGTAATAGCAATTTTGAAGTTGAAAATGTTGATAGTCTAAATCCAAACTCTAAACTTAAATTATAAACTCAACAGAATTTATCATTTAAAATAATAATAATAATGAACACTTTTAAGCTGTCGCTGTGAGTGTTCTATAACTTAACCCTTTAACTACATTACTAGAATTTATATTATGTTGTACATTTCTTTTCTTATTAATATTATTATTTTACATTAAAAATATTTTATGTTTATATAATATTGTATAGTGTAACATATTTAGACCAATTAAAGATAATACAAAGTATTATTTGTTAATTTATATTTTTTTGAACTGCACAATATACAAAGTGCTTTAATTTTTCAAGATATGAAGTTCCTAGATTTAAGTAGATACTTCATACTATCATTGTAGTGAGTTGATATAATGTACATTTTTATAAAGATCATTAGGTGGTTAGGAATTATTTGTCTACAAAACAAAATCACTGATATCAGTAGTCAGAAAATTAACAAATCCTAGAATTACTATAGCTGTTAAAGAAATAGTATAACTTATTGGATATATCAATACATTTATTATGTTCAAAATTAAATTTTATGAATTTTAACGAAAAATGTTTTTATGTACATTTCTATAATGTAATTTAAAATTAAAAAAATAAAATTGTTCCTAAAATTATTGACGTTTTTAAAAATTTAAAAATCACATTAATTTAATAATTTAAAAATGTATACATGATTATCAAATAGTATATTCATATAATATACCTACAATTAATTATATGTATCATGTAAGTTAGCAATTTTATCACTTCTAACCACCTGACAAATAGATATATTTAGTTCCGCATTATAAAAACCAGAGTAATGAAAGTACCTACTACCTACGAAATTTTTTCATGTAATATATTTTTTTATACTTATAGTCGAACAATTAAAGTTAACTTAAAAATAATTATGAGCGTTATCTAGTAATGCAAAAAGAGTCTATTACAGAAATATGTAAAATAATTTCATACATCTATATAAAAACAAACAGATCGTTTTATTTAAATTTAATTTACAATTAAATTTATATATATCAAAGTATATTCAAATAATGTCATAATATAAATTGCATAGTTAATATTATGTAGATTTAGTGTCAATAATCAAAGCTATAAATTTAAAGAAAAATTTCTAATTGAATTATATACCTATCATAATTTTGAGCTTAAAAATAAAATAAAAAAATAGGACAAATTATGTTAGTATGAAATTTTTATTAGCATTTAGCAAAAAATATTGATTTTCTTTTTATATTGCAAATAATTATTGTTCTCAAAATAAAAGAAAAAAAAATGTTTTTGACACAGATCCGTTTAAAAGAAAATAATTTAATTTCTTCCAACTTACAATTAATTTACAGATAAAATTGTTTTTATATTAAGTGCATTTACCTATTGAATATAATTTTTCTTTACATTGTTATACATTTAATTTTATCAACTATTCGCTATTGAGACATTATAATCACGTTTGTTTTTTTTTTTTGTCAATAACGTTTATTTTGTTTAGTGTACATAAGAAAATTTAGTTATAATCTTTATTAAAATTTATAAAAGAAACTTTTTAATTTATATATATATAGAATATTCATCGTTTTGATTAACTAAAAATAAGTACTTAAACTTATTAATAACATTGTTTCTAAAATAAATACAAATACAAAACACAAAATAATTTAATATTTATACTAACCTTGAAATTTAGTTGGGTTTTGAATCAACGTCAATGTACATGGTATAACATAAAATATGAGAAGTCCAAACTTAAGAAATTTCTTCATAGTGATACTTTGTTAGAAAAAAACTATATTAATTAATTCACTTTTGATTGTTTAAAAAACTTGACATTGAAGATAGTCAAACACATCACAGAAAAAAAAACATTTTGATTTTAAATTTTTGCATTCTAACGTAATATAAGAATAATAAATTAATAATATAAGTATGGTTTTGTAGACTAAAATCTTCTTTTAGTCGTTATGAAAATAATTTAATTAATTTTCAAATCTTCATGGTTTCAAACTAAAACAAAAAAAAGTACAAATAATTTTATAAAATTGAAACAATTGTTAAGAGTATTTAAAATTTAATCAGATTAAAAATATTGTATAATTATATACCTGAAATAATTAAAATATGTAAGATAAGACATATGCATACTTAATAGCATTAAGGTATTAAGTTAAATGTATATACTTCAAAAATATATTAAAACTTATTAAATACAATAAGTATCGTTTTTTACATCAGAAATAATACCAACCAGTGTTCTCAATTCTTTAGAAGTTAAAAAATAAAGTATACGTTATTTAATTAATGATTCAATTTATTTATCAATTGTAATTTAATTTATCACATGTAAAAAGTTACCTTACTCAAAAAAAATTATTTTTTAAAATTTGTCAATAGTATAAAATAAATTATATAAAAATATAAAATATACTATAAATATATTTATTTTTTTAATTCTATTTTTTTTCCTTTTGAAAATTTTGAAAATTACATGTTACTAATTTTTACATAATACACATTTAACTAATTTTAATACTACTTATGAAATTAATATTTTTAAAAATTTGCTAGAAATTTATTATTTTATACTTAATAAATAATTTTTTAGTAGTAATTTGAAAAAAAATGTAGGATGCATGGCATTTAATTATTATACAATTTGTGTACAAATGCTTTATTGAATAAGCAAAAATAACTAAAATGTGTATTATAATATCAAGTATTATACGTATGATATACTCATGGGAAAAAAATTAAACTATTCAATTTTTTGATGCATATGTCTTCACTACACAATATGACATAATTTTATGTGACCGGTAAAAGGTATATAAACTTTTTTTTTTTTCAAGAAAAAAAAATTAAATCTAAATCTAATATTAACTGTTTTTATACTTAATGAACTATTATCATTTTTCTAAAATTACAGTCTTATGTAAACATTTATTTATGTGAGTATATTTATTTTTAGGTAATTAATCCTAGGTGCTTTTGTGGATTGTTTTTTTCCATAAGCCAGTCATATAAATCTTCACTTTTTTATCATGTACTATTTTATATATAGTTTTAGTTAATAGATTATAAATATCTATTAAAAAATAAAATAAATATTTATTAAAAATTATACTACAAAATATACATTTTATAAGTTAATTTATTATATTATTTAAAAACTAAGATAATGAATTATTTAGATAGATAATAAATGCAGTTGTATTTAAAAAATATACTTTAACTATATAAAAATATATTCATATTTTTATGCTCCGTTTAAGTTTATTATTTTGATATTTTGAAAATAAATATAATTTAAATTGTATTTTCTAACTAAATGAATAATTTAAGTAAAATCAGAGTTTAATTAAAAGTTATGTAAACTATCCACGATTCACGATATTTTTAACGAATCTAACTTTAGATGTATTATAAAATATGGTCGACAGCGTCTTCAATTATGCTTTGACACTGAACCATTGGATTAAAACAAAAGCGTTGTTTAAAATATAACGAAAGCAATGAATAAAAGTACTTTTTCATGAATGTCATTGTAGTAATATGTACCTAATTGCATCTAGTCCAAATGGTCATAATTCTTAGACGATAAAACAAGAGGAAGATATTTTAAACCCGTACCTACAAATTAATTTCTAGTTTTTATTTATTTTATTTTAACTAATTTAAAAAAAAAAAAATCATGCGCGCGCTTACACACACATATACAAATACATAAAAAAATTGTATATTACATTCGACGTGTTACCATTGAGTGTATTATGTTACATCGAAATTTCATACACATACGCATGTGATTCGATCGACAAACTATACGAACAGTTTGGCGGATTCAAAATATAATATTATTCGCGACTCGTTCATGACAACATAACCGAAGGAGCACATGGTCAACGGGACACTGAGCGGGCGACAAGGCGCAAGCCAGTCAAGACAAAGAGAGTTGGCGTTCGGCGCAAGCGTTAAATAGTATACCTATAGACTGATAAATGTAATGGCGACGTTTGTTCATTATCCGTTGATCGTATATGATATAATACACAGGTAACTATTCAAGTATATACCACAGTACAATACCCAATGAATTAGTCTTAATATTATAATCTACTTTTCCCTGAACGATTTTTATCATCGCTTCCTATCAGTTGTTCTAAATCTTTGTTAATAATAATTGTTTTGTTACCACGATCAAAGATTAATTACCTACCTATATTGATGAATACGACGAGAGTAAGCATGGAATACTTAAATAAACGGGTGATTAAATAATATTATGAAATACATTCGATTTAAATAATAAAAAAATAAATATTAATAATAACAATATTATCGTGATTTATTGATAACAAACTTAAATTACATATTATCTAGTTATTATTTATTTATTTTTTAAATATTTTGAATAATATTTAATATGTTTTTTGATGGAAATTATTTATAAGTAATAAAATATTTATAACAATATATGTTAAAGGAAAATATTGTACTTAGAATTTTTTTATATATATATTAGAACATATAATATTGTATCACACTATTATCATATCAGAAAAAAAAAAACTGTTTGTTTGTTTTTATATAATTTATAAAACTCATATCTTTCAATTGAAAAATGTTAAAACTGTCACCTTTCTTTTATAACTTACAGTTATTGTAAAGGTAAATATTTTAATTAAAACAGTCATGATGAACAACTAATAAAATTATTGTTTATAACTACTATAAAGCGGCAACGGATGTTTTAGAGTTTCTTAAATAGAAAATGAAGTTAATCAAAATTTATCATTTAATTTTTAATTACTTATAAATAATATTCAATTTATTTTAATAAATAAATAATAGATATAGCGTATCTAGAATGTCTTAGAATTTTAAGCAAGTTTATCTATAAAAATTAACTAAAATAAAATATATATTTAAATTAAGATAGTTATCCCATATTTACTAAATTATTCACTTATATTTAAATATATTTTATACTAAAAAAATAGAAAAAAATAGTGTAATTTAAGTGTTATTTAAATATGTATAATAATTTGAGATTCGAATGAAGTGATATATGTATAGAGTTCCAGTACAGTGATGTAATATTTTTTTTTAAAGAATCAAATATTTAATAACTATAATAAACTTGTTATAATAGCACCTTCAACCATAGGTTTTTTATAATTTTTTATAATGATTTTATTTATTTCTGCAGAATAAAAGCAATTAATGTATTATGTTTTTTTGTTTATCATCACCTTAATGAGTAGGTAGCAAATAACTATCAAATTTTACTTTGAAGGTAGATTTTGATATTAAATTAGATCTTTTTTTTTTTTTCTTTGGTTCATTGGTGTGGTTAAAATAGAAATATTTATTCAACACCAGTCTTTAACACAACCAACTTTGTTTATTTCTTGTAATTTAAAAATGAATAACCACATAGAGACTTACTTGAAATTTTCACTAAAGATTCATTCATACTAGTATTTCAAAAACGTGATAATAATAATATAATTGTATATGTATAGTAATAATAATAATATTTAATATTACAAATAATAATAAAATAAGTTTAACAATATTTTCGATGGTTTTTGGCTTTTGAAATTTTCGAATTTTTTCAGTATTTCTAAATGTAATATAGCGAATTATACTTATATTTTCTTGAAAATCTAATATATGCATACTATTTTATAATTTGCAGTACACAACATTTTCAGTTTTAATAACTCAAACTTTTAAATGTAATACAAATTTTCCAGTAAGTTATTCTCGTATAACTATCTATAAATATCAAAATGCATGATGTACATAATTTTCGTTTATAGATTTATTTTAAGTTCAAATATTGCAAAATTCTATATTAAAATGTGATGTATCAATTTTCCTTCTATTTTGATTTTAATTATTTTATCCTTGTATAAAATAAACTAAACTTAAAGATAAAATGATATTTTCTATTTCCAATCTCAGAATGTGCTAATTATTATAATTTGTTATATTAGAAATTAAAATAACTAGTGAAAAATAGAAAAAAATGTTTTAGCAGCTAAAATAAAAACAAAATCTTTTTTTACCAAAAAAATTAAAATAATGATAACATCAACATTAATTCGCTCAATGATACAAAAATTATAATATTAGCTAATATTAAAGAAAACTTTAATACAAAACAAGGTAGGAAAGTGGGTATCACACTGTTATACTATTAAGTGTTGAGTTTCACTATAATTGGTGTGTTAAATTTGAATTCAATTTTATACTACTTTTTACGAAAAATAATTATAATGTGTATTTTAATAATTAATATTATATCTATTAAAGTAATTTATTTTACTTAAAGCTTAACGATAAGTTGATTTAATTTGTATAAAAGTTCTATGATTTATGAAGAATAGGCAAATCCACAATGACACAAATATTTATCTCCTCCAATACTGAATAAAAACCCAATTTAAAAATGTTCACACCAATCATAAAACCTCCGATAATACAAGATTTTACAGCCTGTAAACCAAAACTAAAAACTGATGCTTCAAATTAAGACTACCTCAAGACATACTTCTATTAGATGTTAGTAAAGATGAATATCAAATATAGAATGTCTAATCGCTATAAAAAATGTGTTTAACCTAATATATTATCCAGAATTAAAATACTTTTATCTTTGTAAATTGTAATTAGATCTAAACGTTTTAAATTTAATAAATAATAAAAAAATTATAATAATCTATTTCGAAAATTTCGTTGTGTATGGTACAATTATTAATAAACATACATTTTTAATTGTTTTAAGTACCCACTATAATAATGTTTTTGAATAATTATAAAATAATTAATATCTTTATTCAACGTTAAAATACACAATTTTTCTTATTATTAAATGGAGTAGGTACTAGAAAACGTTTACTTTTAACCCTTTAAAGCACTAAATAGATCAAATTTGCTACCAGACAATCAAAGCATTTTTATACCCCAAAAAGTGATAATAGTAGACAAAAAATATACATCATAATAAATACATTAATTTCTTCAATCAGAACCTAAAATGATTTACGTACAATAGATATAATTATATAAGTAATATATAATTTCCATTTTATGGTAAAATTAAATATAGATTTGATAATTAATAAATATTATAGACAATACTCCATATATATTCTAATCGTCACTATTTTTATATAGTCATCATTTATAAAATAATTTAAATTTTAAACCTTATTGTATAACTATATTCCTAAACATCGATATCTAATAGATGATTCCAAAATTTTTATTATCAATGTAATGCGTACTTACACGCATAATGTGTCAAATGTGTCTAATTATATAATGTCTTATCATTATTCAAAATCGAAACAAAAGATAAGGTAAATAATTAACGGAGTAAATTCCAAGTCTGCTTATATTTGATTATAATTCTAAAAATGCGAGTTTGAACCTCTCGCTAAACATATCATGTTTAACAGTGGCGTTTTCTCTGGGTGTGCAAGTTGTGTGTTAACGCCCTAAACATTGATGTCATACATGTGTGTAATATTGTAATTTGTAATTCATATTAGTATATTACATGGTTATATAATTTTATTTACAAAATCTTAAAATAATTGTCATGTAAAAATAATAATATCAAATAATAAACTATTGTTACTATTGTCTATTTTAAGCTCTAAACTCGACCATTCGCTCGCGCCGTCTGCAGCTACGACGCGCAACGGCGTCCAATAAGATTACGCCGATTACGGAATAATATTGTATTATGTTGTGTTTGTGTAGGGTGTAGCCGTGTAGGACGTTAATGTTTCGAACAACGACTTGTGGTATCTAATATCTCATATTCGTAATTTGTCGTGATATTTTCGGATAACTTCGGTGCCATGTTAATACTAGACCAAGTCGTTGAAAATGAAATTAACGACTAGCCACTACTCACTAGTCTAGCGCTAGCCTATACACTGTGTTTGGACCGTTAGTGGGGATCGTCGCGGCTGCACGTTATCCTGTTTACGTCGTACACTCGTACTGCAAGACTGCAACGCCGATCGTCGAAAACATAATATATTCATTATTATATTAATTTGTACATTTTCAGTTTTATATTATATTTAATTTTATAGATGTTGGATTTGGATGTATTTTTAAAAATTTAAAAGTATTTAAAATAAATAATTTTAATAATATGTTGATTGTTAATAGTTGATACGAATTTATTTCCCGTAAGGGGAGTTTTCCTAATTGTTTTCCTTACACATTAACGCCTAACGCCGAAAGTCAGGAAACGCCACTGATGTTTAAATGTTTGATGAAAAATCTAACCATTTTTATCATTGAGAAACTGGTAACATTCAGTGTAGTGGGGACTGGGGATCATTAATTGTTATCTCTTATTGATATTGTTATCTCATCATACGTGCCGCGAGCCGGCGCACGAAAATTCTCACAGCTCCATCATCTGTACACTCCAAGTAGCAAGTACCATCCACCACATCTGACGGAGAACACCTAATTTAAATTATTATCATTAGCTATAGACCGGCCTTCCACAATTGTTTCAACTGACGACAATCGACCACCGTTGTACTATCTGCTTCGCTCTTTTTTTCTTTTCTTGTCTACGATCAACAAGGAAACACCTCGGACACGAAAGAAAAATCTTCTTATATCTACGGTTTAGGCGCCGAAATTCTATTTTTTTTATTTTTTTTTTTAAGTTTGTATTTTAAATGGAATAAAATTGTTTTGAAGAAAATCAGATAGTTATATTGGTATATTTTATTTATATAATTTTAATCTTCATTTTTATAATAAAAATTTATATCTCAAGTATTCAACACAAATATCTAAATAACAATAGGAAAACCATAGGTTATTAATTACATAAACTATGAA